GTTTGTGTGGTATGCAATATTATTGCACAATGCTTAATACCTAGCATTGATCTTCAATACCTTCAGTATCACTCGAAACAGGGGAAACACTTGTTACAAAGAGTTTCAACTGATCCGAAGGTCGTATACCCTTATAAGTTCGACGTGTTCGAGTAGTGCCAGGTATGTCCTCAATAACATATCGATCATTATCTAAAACTTTTGTGATAACAAAAGGCCCTTTGAAAGCAGGTTCTAATTTCTTGCTCTGTCCGTCATTTGCGATTGATGTCTGTCTTACCACAACGTGTTGACCAACAGTGAATGTTCGAGGCTTGGAATGCCTTGCATCGTATGCCATTTTCTGGATTTGCTGTTTATTCTGAATCGAATGTGCCACGTTTGGTCTGAGCTCTAGGAAATCAGGTCGAGTAGAAACTTCATCACTTACTTCCGCAGTAAGAAAAGCATCATTCTTTCCTCGGGGACGATAACCGAAGAAAACTTCATAAGGTGACTTTCCAGTAACCGAACTGACCGTTGAATTGATACCCCATTTAACTTTCTTGATTGCTTCGTCCCAATGAGTTTCATCGTCGGTACTTGCTTTTAAAGATGATAGAATCGTGCGATTCATCCTTTCCACCTGTCCATTAGCTCTTGGCGTAGCCGTAGCCACTAAAACTCGTTTGATACCTAAATCCGTACAGAATTTAGTAAACTGTTCGCTAGTGAAGGCAGTTCCCCTATCACAAATCAATCTTCTGGGAACCCCAAAAGTATCCATGGTCTCATTGAGAAATTGAATTACAGGACTTGTTTTGGTATTCTGGACAGCCTTCATAAAAACGAACTTAGTGAATCCGTCCACTGCTATTATCAAATAGCTGTTCCTTTTTCTACTCTTGACGAATGGACCCAGATGGTCCAGATGGAGAGTATCCATAGGGATTTCTTTCTTTTCGATGCTGCTGAGACTACCTGGTTGTTTACCAGCTTGATTTTTATTATAAATGCATCCCAAACAGGAAGAGATGTAATTTTTCACATAGTTCCTCATGGATGAAAACCAGTAATTTTGAGTAAGTGATTCCAAAGTTTTATCAACAGAGAAATGGCCAGCTTCATCATGATAACACATCAGTAATCTCCTTCTGGCAGTCTTTGGTACTACCCATTTGGGACCTTTTGGTGTTTTCTTATAAATTCTATTTTTCTTGAGGCAAAACTCTTTGTGAATATTCTTCTCCTCGCCATTTGAAGGATCTTTAGACAAAACTTCGTGTAATTCTTTACAGCGCTCATCCTGTAGTTGGGCCGATAGTACCCAATCATCTTCGTTGACATTCACATGCAATATACTTTCAATAGTACCAGTCTCATCTAGAGGACTTCTACTGAGAGCATCCACATGATTCATCTTTGTCCCCGGACGATATTCGATAGAAAAGTCATATTCTTGAGTTGTTAGCCACCATCTGCCGATACGAGGAATCAAGTCCCTTTTAGTGAGGGTCGTGCGTAATGCATTACAATCTGTGACTACCTTGAAGTTGATACCGATTAAGTAAACTCTAAATTTCTTCAATGAATTCACAACAGCAAGCGTTTCCAATTCATAAGAGTGATATTTTTGTTCATCCTTCATAGTTGAACGGCTGAAATATTGTATCGGTTTGAAGGAACCATTCATTTGTTGAAGTAGAATACCACCAACACCTAACTTGCTAGCATCTGTATGAACTTCAGTTGGTGCTGATCTGTCATAGATACCTAATACAGGACGCGTAGTGAGTTTATTTCTGAGTTCTTCAAAAGCAACCTGTTGTTCAATATCCCATCTGAATTCTACATCTTTTCGAGTCAGATTAGAAAGTGGCTTTGCTATAAGAGCGAAATCTTTAATGAATTTTCTGAAATAGCTGGTTAAGCCAAGAAATCTTCGAACGTCGTGAACATTTGAAGGCTTCGGAAAATCAGTCACTGCTTTAATTTTCTCTGCCCCTGGTTTAATTTTTCCTTCCGATATTTCGTGACCCAAATAATTGATTTTTGACTGGAGGAAGTGACATTTATTCAGACGTAAAGTCATTTTAGCCTCTTCAAATAATTTCAAAATTGTTTCCAGCTTTTCTATTCCAGTTTCAATAGTCGGGGAAGGAATGAGAACATCATCAAGATAAGCCATTGCGGTAGTAAATCGTAAAGACCCTAGTATTTCATTCATAGTTCTTTGAAAGACCGCAGGACCGTTAACTATCCCGAATGGCATCCTCAAATATTCGTAGTGGCCATCTTGTGTTATGAATGCCGTTTTTGGAATAGATTCTTTGGCAACTGGTATCTGATGGTATCCAGAAGCAAGGTCTAAACTCGTGAAATATTTGTTGTCCTTCAATCCATCTAAGAAATCATCAATACGAGGTAACGGGTATTTATCCTTTATTGTTTTTCGATTCAGAGCACGATAATCGATACACATTCTCTCTTCGCCATTTTTCTTTTTGACAAGTAAAATGGGACTAGAGTATGGCGAGTGTGATTCTTGAATGATATCATTATCTAACAAATCTTGAACAATTCCCCTGACCTTCTCTCTTTCTGAGTATGCTAGGCGATATGGCCGATAAGTGATTGGTTTGTCATCAAGTAAATCAATTGATATTTCTGAAATATCAGTTTTACCCAACTCGCTTAGTTTATTCGCGAAACAATGTCGATATTTATTGATAAGATCCAATAGTTTCTTTTGATCCTCAAGTTTGAGTACGGGATCGAACTGTTTTTTAACGTCATCCAATGTGAAATCAGAAATTTCGCAGCACTCTGTAGATAAACAATTCAAAGATTCGATATCACTCTCAATGCATGTGTATCCTCTAGCAATTACTCTACCTTTACTGTACTCGACAGATTTGTCTGACGTATTCATGACAGCAATAATACCTCCATTTTTAATGTTTGTTATACATCGTGGAATTACATGAAAATTATTGGGCCAGGTACGATACTGCAATTCAATGTACACATTCTCAACATTTTCTTCACTTTCCAAAAATATGTGACCAATGTGGTGAGGAGGAATCACCGCTGCTTCCTTTGCCCACAAATTAACTTTTTTGGGGGGTAAAGTGTCGATTTCTTGGAGTGGTAAAATATCTTTGTTGAAAAGACGAACTTGGTTGCTACGTACAACCACGACAACATTTTTGTTATTGATGAAAGGTTGTCCGATGATTATGGATACTTGCTGGGCTTCATCAGCAACAACTAGAGCGTTCACTCGAGCGGAAGCTAAATCGACTTCCAAATCAACAGAAACCTGAGAATGTACATGTATGGACCCACCACCATAACCGCACAGTCGTATCTGTGTAGGTTGGCATTGTAGGCCTATTGCTCTAACATCTGATTCACGGATGGTTACTGCACTGCTCCCAGAATCAACGTATCCCCTCAAGGCCCATCCGTTTATCACGCAGTCGATGAAATAACAAGTGTTCAGATATTTATTGGCCGTGAAATTCAAAATAGGTGCTGACTTACCTACTTCAGCACATGAAGCTGAGATCTTCTTGAAAGTAGTTTGTTTGTTTCGACAGTTGTCAGCATCATGTCCCAGAAGATGACATCTGGTACATTCAATCCTTTTCTTCGGACAAGATGATTGACGGTGTCCTTTCTGGCCGCAGTTGTAACAGTTTTTGTTGAAAGCACCAATATTGTCGAGGTTTTCTCTTTTGATGTAATTTGTTTTCTTGAATTCACTTCTTTCTACTGGCCGCCTATCTCTACTATGTATTTCGAAAGATGATTCATTCTTCAATGTAGAAAGATATTCTTCATATAGGGACTCAGGAGTGAGATAACGACCCGCACGAGCACTGTTTTGCAAGGTCTTATCTAAAATGCCGTCAATCAGACATGAAACTGCATTTTTGCCAGTTATTTGACACGTTTTCAGTAACTCCATTTTTTCAAAATAATAGTTTGTCATACTTTCTGTAGATAATTTCTTTCTTCGCATCATTTTTGTTAAAGCTGTAGCAAAATCTACATGATCAGGAAATGTTTTTGTTATCAAAGTTTTCCATTCCTCCCATGGATAATCATAAGATGGCAAACCGTGATACCATTTCTTTGCATTTCCAGTTAAACGTGACTGCATGAAGTGGATTGTGATTGCATCATCCCAATTGTTGATTATTTTCATCTGATCAATTTTATGTAGCCAATTTGACGCTGTCAAATTTTCATTGTCCGGAGAAAACTCTGGAATACAGTCACCAAAAACTGTTAGTTTCGGTCTAGAGGGTTGAATTTTGTTATCCGGTACGTTTCCTTTCTTCGTCAAGGTTTCTACCAAAGATTCCAGTTTTCTTATTCTTTCATCTGCACTGGATGACGGTTCATTGAGAGCACATAGTGACGAACGTTTTCGTCGTTGACTAGGACTTCGAGATAAGAGACGTTTTCTCCTACCTAAATCCCTACATCTACTTGCTAATGACGTATCATCAGACACCCTGTATGGTTCCCGTCTCCTACTTGAACGGTTTAGGCTATGACCTCTCCTTCGATACCTTTCCTCGCTTTCACTATCTGGAGTACTACTCCCGTAATCGATAGTTGAAGCTGCGCTACCAGTATCACCATCACTACTATAAGTCGACCGCATTTTTGGCGCACAGGTCTAACTCCGCACCTGAACTGTAAACTATGATTAACTCGTAGGCTTCGAATGAACGATTTATTATCGGAAAAGACAAAACTGGGTATATTTAACAAGAAATCTATTAGAACCAGAACAACGCTTTTTGACTCAACGCTACAACGTCAATGTGTCATAATGACAATCCTGTTTTCTTGTCGTATACTGGGAGATCCGAATGTGCTTCATACGGGGTGATTATAATAGTCTCTTGGTAGTGGTGATTCAAACTGTTCAAAGTACTCTCTTAACACTGACGGATTAGTTATTGTTCGATAATATTGTGAAATGCTATCATCAATGAATTGACCTTCTCTTGTTTTATCTGGGAATTCTCCTTCATCATTTCTGGATTCATAGGTTTCTTCGTTTGTTATAAAACTCGGTGGCCCTATTTCAGTATTGTTGAATTGAGGTTCTTCAATGCGCACAGCTGTCAAATCTGAAGGAGTGGGTGTCATGAACGCTAACTGATTGTACAAATTGGTTTTCGGACTATATTTTTCAATTTCTGTATTGTCAAATTCTTGTTTAATGGGTTTTCCTAAAGTTGAAACCAATTCTTTTAGGGGTTGAGTAAGTGGTTTATATGCTTTTTCAAGTTTTGTCCGTGATTTTACAATATAGCCTTTTATACTTTTATATTTTTTCTTCAATTCTCGTCTAGCTTTCACAAGTTGTTTCACTAATTGTGGATCCATTACGACTAAGTGAATCTTGAAGATTCATCTTTACATATGGGTATACGTATCGAACCCCCGTCTATATCGTCCCGAGGACATCTCACAGTCCCTATCTATTACAAGAAAATCATACTTGGTTTTTCAACAGGATGATGCTACTTCTTTGAAATCCTGAAATTCCATATCAATGTTTGCATGGTCATCATAGATATGTTTCAAATTAGTAAGGTCTTGTGAGAAAATGATCAACAAATTAGTGTTGTCGCGAATTAGCTGTTTAGGAACAGCACCATGTTTTCTAGTAGATTGCGTAACATTACCAAAATTGTAATTTTTTACGGGTAACGAAACATTTTGTTTTCGCAGCTTCATTGTGGCTGATTGACTGGAGGTATATAAGGGTGTGTGTGCATATATAACAGATTAGAATGAAGAGAACCACAAGAGTTAGAGAACAGCAGAGAGCCGAGGGAAGAGGTTTCGTCAACACATTGATAAATAAATTACCTTTTGAAGTTCATCTACCAAATTACAACTATTGTGGACGTGAGTGAATGTTAATCACATTGTTGTTGTCGTTCTTGTCGTTTTATTCAAAAACTATATTCGTGCTTATCTTTTCTTTAGCGGGCACCAAACTAAGACAGCGCTTGGCACGTGGGGATCTTGGCATCAATCCTCTGGATACTGCTTGTAAAGAACACGACATCGCATATTCACAAAGTGGAGATCTTGTTGACAGGCATAAGGCTGACGAAATATTGGAAAACAAAGCTTGGGAGAGAGTTAAAGCAAAAGACGCTAGACTAGCAGAAAAGGCAGCAGCCTGGTTGGTAAATACAACAATGAAAGGAAAACGTAAACTTGGAATGGGTTTGAAACGGAAAAGGAAAGGCGAAACATCAAAGGGAAAACAAAAACTACGAATCATACCTGCTCCAAAAAAAGAAGGATTTTTACCTTTCCTACTTCCACTGCTTGGAGCACTTGGGGCTGTTGCAGGTGGAAGTGCTGGCATCGCCAAAGCTGTCAAAGCTATCGAGAACAATTAGCTGAACAGCAAAGGCATAATTTGGCAATTGAGCAATCTGGCAAAATCTGGAAAACGGCATTATCTGAGACCGTATAAAGGATATGGTCTGAGGAAGAAAAAACATCAAAAAATCGAAAGTGTTGAAAGGGGTTCTACTTGAAACCATACCCCTCAAAAAAGTCCCGATAAAATTACCCCGGCGTATAATGACAGACAGTGATCTCATCGAATATGCACAATTATTAAAAATTCCTCACTTTCGGGGCGTATTTATGCGTGATTCTTCACCGAAAATGGTCAAAACAAATGAGTCTGGTATCATTAATCTTGACTCACATAAGGGACCTGGAACTCATTGGACTGCATATTCCAAGAAGAACAATAATGTAGCCTATTATGATAGCTATGGAAATCTACCGCCTTCAACAGAACTAGTGAAATATTTCGAGAGTAATGGCACTGTGAGAATTAGGTTCAATTATGACGCCATGCAGAAGTATAATTCGTATCAGTGTGGTCAATTTTGTCTGAAATTTTTATATAGTCAATATAAATAATGAATTACAATCATTTCAACATAAACCATCAATCATGTCTTATACATTTACGCTTAGTGGGGAATCTTCCACTCTGAGTGATAATTTCAACCCACCAATATATTTGGAAGACAATATTGAATACGAAATTGGTTTGGCCAATTTCGATACCTTCAACAGTATTCCAAATGTTGATGAAACTAACAATGTGTTGGTATGGGGTGAACACAACAACTTCAGATTTGAAATTCCTATGGGCTCTTATGAAATCTCAGAGATATTGAAAATAATTGAGAATGAAATGTTTCGGACTGGAACTATTACACATATAACAGCAGACCCACTGACATCAACAGTATCAATCAAAAGTAGTGAATGGATTAATTTCAGTGTTGGTAATTCTATTAGGAATTTACTGGGATTTGGTGATAGAGTTAAACTTGGACCAAACGTGCATCATACCTCACCTAACAAAGTGAATATCTTGAAAGTGAATGCTATATGCATTGATTGTAACATTGCTGTAGGATCATTTTTGAATGGGAAACCTGTTCATTTAATCCACCAATTTTTTCCACAAGTTCCTAGCGGGTATAAAATAGTGGAGCAACCACTGACTATACTTTATTATCCTGTTAGCATCAAAACCATAAACAATATTAGCGTGAGAGTGCTCGATCAAGCAAGCAATTTGGTAAATTTCCGCAACGAAACGATCACAGTTCGTTTACATCTTAGAAAAGTTTAATAAGATAATGGTGTTACAATACCATCGTTTGGAACGTCCATACAGTAAACAATATAAAAAGGAGCACCACAAAAGTACTACCAGTTCTTCATCAATCAAGGAAACGTTAACATCGGAAAATCGTCAATTTTTGAAAAGTCTGGGTTTTCAAATATTAGTGTGATGGAACTATTGAATGTGACAGGTCATCCTTTCAGTGACACAACGATTGAAGATTACCAATTTCATACTTATCAACCATACAACAACGCATCCCTCAACTACAACGATGAAGTCAGAATAAGCGTGCAGGACGTTGATAATTTCACTTTGCCCTGTAATAGTATATTGTATGTAGAGGGGATATTCCTAACTGAGCAAGAAAAAGTACCAACTAAATTGCAATTTATCAATAACGGGTTGGCTTATCTATTCAGGGAACTGAGATATGAACTTAATGGCGTTGTAATAGATTCTGTCCGGAACGTTGGTCTAGTTTCAACGTTGAAAAACTATTTGTCTTTGAACGAAAATGAGAGTACGCTGATGCAAAATGGAGGGTGGTTTCCAAAGAATAACGATGAGAAGATTTTGATTGACGCGAGAGGAAAAATTGTGGTCTGGATTTTTTGAAGACTTTCGAAAAATTATAATTAACATGAGACAAGAATTGGTTCTCATTAGAGAAAAAGATGACCATGATGTAGTGATTGCTAAAGACAATACAGAAAAACCCAAAATTGAAATCACTAAATTATATTGGAACGTACCTCATATAACACCGAGTATAACAGAACAACTACGTTTGAACAAAATAATTCGTAGTAACATAGAACTACCCATCAAATTTAGAAGCTGGGAATTGATAGAATATCCCTCTTTGAATGATTCTACTCGTCATACTTGGCCAGTTAAGACTTCTTCAAAGTTGGAAAGTCCCAGACACATCATAATAGCTTTTCAGAATGGTCGGAAAGGAGACATGTTGAAAGATATGAGTAGATTTGATCACTGCAACTTGACAAATATACGAGTATTCTTGAAAAGTGAAAGATTTCCTTATCAGGACTTGAACTTAGATTTTGACAGTAATCGGTTTGCAACATTGTATGAAATGTTTGCCAACTTCCAGGAAAGCTATTATCACATCCAAACCAATCAACCTATATTTAACCCGCAAGAATTCAAAACCTTGGCTCCAATCGTTCACATTGACTGTTCACGCCAGAAAGAGATCATTCAGAGCGGATCTGTTGTTCTGCGAATAGAATTTGAAACATCAAAATCTACCGGTAATAATGTGTCTGCATATTGTCTCATATTACACGAGAAAGAGTTCTATTATAATCCACTGAATAAAATTGTACGTCAATAAAATATTGAACCATCAACTTATCTGTCTATCAGTCAGTCAGTTGGTGATGTTGCGTGAGTATGGACGTAAGTTAGATGAGTTCCTCCGTGAGTTAACACAACTCAAACTTGAAATAGAACAACTTGAAAAGATTAGAATGCTGACGAAAGGATTAAAAAACCTCAAGATATGAAGTTGATCGTAGATGTTCAAGGATTCAAATTAGAAAATGATAGATTTGTAGTGAAAGAATTCGCCTGTTTTGATGGTCGACGTTTCAGTCATTATTTGTTCAAAAAACCATTTCCTTTTCGTTTGCTATCACCCGATCTTCGAAGACGAGCAACATGGCTGATGAAAAACGATCATTGTATAGAATGGGATGCTGGTTTCACACCTATACATCACTTTGGAAATATTATGAAAGGCCTGACCCAAGCAGTTGACATGGTTTATGTGAAGGGGAGAGAAAAGTATGAGTTTATCAAGAAATATTCTACGTCGCCGATTTGTGAATTAGATGATCATACACCATTGCTAATGTCACAACCTATGTGTTTTTACCATAGTAATACTACCTTGCTTTGTGCATTACAATCGCTCCGACTGGCAGGACCACGTAGAAGGGACACCACAATCACAGTCAAGATGTCATCTCTGTAAATTAGCACTTGAGCAATAATTGTGATTGGAGTATTCGTGAATTGATGAAATAAAAAATAACCAATTACTTCAACTGTTTTTTATTTCGTTTAACCTTCTTCTATGTGATAGTGTGATTATATTTCATGAACAAAAACAACTATGTAGTTTGCCTATAATTTATTATGATTATTGAAAACAAATACCTTATAACTACTAAATTTACATACATTTGTATTATGATGTAGCTACATTGATGAATAATTGTGATACATTATCTGTTCCGTCCATCTCCTTTGTTATGTCCTTTTATGTAAACTTAAACTTATAATGAATTTCTATGCATTATCTGCTATCCGTGTTTGGCTCACTGTATATCTCAAAATTGAATTTGCGCATCAGGTCTTTAAGGTTTTACATGCAGCGCCTCCAAGTGGCCACCGCGGATAAAAGAATCAGAACTTTTCGAACAACGAATCCGACATTTTTTAATTCGATCGCCTTGGATCTTTCCGAGTAA